AAAAAACTAAGATCATAACATCTGGTCCCATCACTTCATGGCAAATAGATGGGGGTAAAGTGGAAACAGTGGCAGATTTTATTTTCTTGGCCTCCAAAATCACTGCAGACAGTGTAGCTACTAAATGAAAAGATGTTTGCTCCTTGGAAGAAAAGCTATGACAAATCCAGCCAGCATATTAAAAAACAGAGACATCACTTTACCCACAAAAGTTCGTATAGTCAAAGTAATGGTTTTTCCAGTAGTCTTGTACAGATGTGAGAGCTGGACCATCAAGAAGGCTGAGTGCCAAAGAATTGATGCTTTTAAACTGTGGTGCTGGATAAGACTCTTGAGAGTCCCATAGACAGCAAGATCAAACTAGTCAATCTAAAGGAAATCAACCCTCAATACTCATTGGAAGGACTGATGCTGAAGTTGAAGCTCCAATACATTGGCCACCTGATGGGAAAGCCAACTCATTGGAAAATACCCTGATGCTGGGAAAGATTATGGGCAGGAGAAGAAGGGGGCAACAGAAGATGAGATGGCTGAATGCCATCACCAACTCAAAGGACATGAATTTGAGCAAACACTGGGAGATAGTGAAGAACTGAAGTGCTGCAGTTCATGGGGTTACAAAGAGTCAGAATTTAGCAGCTGAAGAACTGCGACAGAATGAGTTTGAAAGTCATTAGGATCAGCTTATGCCATTCTTTCAGTCGATGAGGACTCAGTCCCTTCTATGCAGCAAACACTAAACCAAATAACATGGCGTCCCAAAGAGCAATTAACATCGCTCTTCCTCTTGAGAGCGTCTGGTCTAGAAATTGACGTGGAGACCCAGACTTGAAATCCAGTTACAAGTTAGGAGTGAGAAAGTTGTAATACACATCCTCTCTCCCGCTCCTCGTGGGGGAAAGGGGCATGTAGGTGACAAGGCAGAAGACATACTGTCCCTTATTCAGCAACAGTAACGTGTGATGACAAAGATCATGTGAACTTTGTGCTTTTCAGGTCTACTATATCCTTCTACTTTTCTGTATATTCATTCCCTAATTTTTGAGAGTTTGATACTGAAATTCCAACTAAAAATCTTAATTTATCTACTTAAAATATAATTGTAACGTATATAGTGAAACTGTATGTAACTTTGTCCTGTATTTTCCAAGTCTCTTGTAAATGTGTTGTCATACTTTCATCATTTAAAAAAATAAGAAAGAGGAAAAAAGAGAGAGAGATCATGAACTCTGCAGTCAAATGTACCTGATCTTAAATTTTGGCTCCACTAATGTGCTCTGTAACTTTGAGTAATCTCTCTTGAAATCTCCATTTGTTCCTCTGAAAAAAAGGAAAGAGGAAGAGTTCCCTGGTGGCTCAGATGGTAAAGAATCCACCTGCAATGCAAGAGATCTCCCCCTGGGTCAGGAAGATCCCTTGGAGAAGGGAGGGGTTACCCATTTCAGTATTCTTGCCTGGGAAATCCCATGGACGGGAGCCTGGCGGGCTACAGTCCATGGGGTCACAGAGTCAGACACGACTGCTACCTGTATTCATTTCCTGAGGCTGCCATGAAAAACGACTACAACCTCAGTGACACAAAAAAGAGCAAAAAGGCCTCCTCACCACTCTGGAGACCAGAAGTCTGAAATCAGGGCATCATCCATCCACACTCCCTCCAAAGGCTGCGGGGGAAAACCCTTCCTCACTTCTCGTAGCTCTTTTTGGTGACCCTGCTACTATCTTGTGACCCCACAACTCTGCCTCTATCCTTCTTCCATATATGCCTTCTCTGTGTCTCTAAGTCCTTTCCTGTCTCTTATTAAGTCACTCTCCTGGGAGTTAGGGCCCATTAGGATCCAGTATGCTACCTTTCTTTGCATCTGCAAAGCCCTTATTTTCAAATAAGTTCACTTTTTTTTTTTAATCTTTTGGCTGCACCACGTGGCATGTGGGATCTTATTCTCCCCTCCCCACCAGGGATCAAGCCTGTGCCCACTGCAGTGGAAGCACAAAGACTTAACCACTGGACCCCCAGGTAAGTCCCAAGTAAGGTCACATTCTGAGGTTCCAAGTGAACATGAATTTGGGGGGAACACTCTTCAACCCACTCCCTCATAGAATTACTGTGAGGAGTAAATGAAGTAATAGATGGAACACATTCTGCACAGTGTCTAGCACACAGTAAACACTTAATAAATGTTAGCTGTACAATGTATGTGTGTGTGTCTGTGGATATATATACAAGTATATACAACTATTTTGTTGCTTTTTAATGTTTATGTATTCATTTTTGGCTGCACTGGGTCTTCACTGTTGTGCACGGGCTTTCTCTAGTTGTGGTGAATGGGCTTCTTGTTGCTTTTGATTCTATCAAATTATTTCCTCCCATCCCCCTTTTTTAATGGCGACGGCAGCAAGTTTTCCTGAACATTTACCGTATGCAAGGTGTCATAGTAAGTCCTTCTCATGCATTAACTCATTTGACCTCACCATATGCCTGTTGCTAAGGAAACTGAGGCTCAGAGAGTTTAAATAAATTACCCAGGCAGGGTCACACCGCTAAGAAGTATGGGGAGAGTGGGATTCGAACCCAGGTTCAGCAGACTCCAGGGTCCTAGTTCTTAACTGACGTAGGTCCATCATGCGTCATGCTGGGTCTTGAATTTGCCTTCATCAAGTTCTTTGCCTTTCCTCTCTTCACTGGGATGTTTTGGGCGCATCATCCACCATCCCTTCCTATCTCACCCCACTCCTTTGATCTACTAGATATATTACAAGTTCTTACTGGACGTTCTTCCAGCAAAGACTCCTCTTTTCCTAACTAACCCTGATGGTCTTCCTCATCATTTGACATTTCTGTTCTATTCCTGCACAGTTCCCCTGCTCCGTGGGAAAGAATATGCCTGCCAGCGCAGGAGCTGTGGCTTCGATCGCTGGGTCGGGAAGATCCCCTGCAGAAGGAAATGGCAAAGCATGCTACGATTCTTGCCTGGGAAATCTCACGGACAGAGGAGCCTGGCGGGACATGACTTAGTGACTAAATAACAATGAACAGTCCTTATTCACAATTCTGTTTGTTCTTAACCCCGAGAGTTACTGTTGATGTGTAACTGTATGTCTTTAGATTACACAAACAGTGTAAGAGCCCAGCCTCTGAAGCCAGACCCCTGGGGTTTGAACCTCAGCTCTGCCACTTCCTCAGTGACCTTGAGTAAGTCATCTGACTTCTCTGGGCCTCACTTTCCTCATACACAACATGAAAAATAATAACAGAATAATAACAATAATATGTACCTGTACAGTTGTCGTGAAAATGCAGTAAATTACCACGTTTAGAACACAGAGCAGATCCTGGCATACAGGAAGCGCTTGTTAAGTGTTAGCAGCTTTTTTTTTTTTAATGTGAATGATTTTTTAAGTCTTTTTTGAATTTGTTACAATATTTCTTCTGCTTTATGTTTTGGTTTTTTGGCCACAAGGCATGTGGGATCTTAGATCGTTCCCCAGCCAGGGATCGAACCCACACCCTCCTGCATTGGAAAGTGAAGTCCTAACCACAGGATCACCAGGCAAGTCCCACTAGCTATTTTTATAATCACCTTCACATTGTTTTTTTTTATTTTTTTGCTGCGCTGGGCCTTCGTTGCTGTGTGCAGGCTTTCTCTAGTTGTGGTGAGCAGGGGCTTCTCACTGGGGTAGTTTCTCTTGTGGAGAACGGGCTCTATACAAGTGGGATCAGTAGTTGCGCACAAGCTTAGTTGCTCCGCCGTGTGTGGGATCTTCCTAGACCAGAGATCGAACCCATGTTCCATGCTTTGGCAAACATTCTTTTTATTTTTTAATCTTTTGTTCTCTTTCTTTTAAAAAAATTATTTATTTTTAATTGAAGGATAATAATTGCTTTATAATATTGTGTTGGTTTCTGCCATACATCAAACATGAATCAGCCATAGTATACATATGTCCCCTCCCTCTTGAAACCCCTTCTCACCTCCCTTCCCATCCCACCCCTCTAGGTTGTTACGGAGCCCTCCCCCCCCCCCGCCAATGTTACAGACCCAGCTCTGGTTTGAGTTCCCTGAGTCAGACAGCAAATTCCCATTAGCTATCTATTTTATATAGATTCTCATAGAGAAGACACACACTCTCCTTGTAAGGTATGAAGTCTGGAATGTGTCTTTTTATTCTTTTTTATCTTTAGTTATTCTTTCTACTCTTATCACTCATCAAATACCTCTGTCTCCCTAGACTTGTGCTATGACACATTACATATTTCCTTGGGAAATCCTTACAGCTCTGGGCCACCCCCATATCCACCCTCATCCTCAGCTAAAGTGCCATGAGTGGGTAGATTCATGTCCTGGATAGCCCTGGGAACTAAACCAGACCCTCAAGTCTCCATTGGGCTTTTCAGCAGGGTCTTGAGGTCTGTGATCTGGAATTGATTTTGAGTCCAAACAGGACTCTAGAATGGACTTAGCTCCAGACTGAGTTCCCACGGGTCTGGCCCAACCTGGACTTTTGCTTCCTCCCCAGCAGTGTCCATTTCTGAAAGGAAAGGCCAGCCAGTGGGCACACAGATGGAAATATTGGACTATTTATTGCAAAACTGGATTGACAGCTCAGGCAGCAGGGAAACAGACCACAGAAGGCCCTTTTGTAACAGAGAAATCGGGGAACAAGAGAAGGAGAAAAAGGATGAGGGAAATGAGCAGAAACACATTAACAGTCACCTCTTGTAGTCCTGGGAACTTCCCTGTCAAATGCTCTTCTGCTGTGCTGTTTCTGCCTCCCTCTGGGTGGCGCTGGCAACACAATCCCTAGGCTGAAGTCTCTGATGAGCACAAAGGAATGCGAAGGACTTAGCACCTCTGAGAAGCCAGGCCCAAGTCAGGGGAAGGGTGTCAGTCACTCCTTGGAGGCTCTGCCCCGGCAGGAAATGCAGAGCTGTCTGGTCTGTGGTCCAGGATGGGTCCACTGGGGGTCCCCGGGGCGGCAGGAATTGCACCATCTCAGCCTCACCGTCCCTTTAGGATTAGACGAATTTTCGCATCTCCAATGAAGAGCCTACAAAAAAAGGTGGCTCAGTGAGGTCTCCAAGTCTCTGGATGTCTCCAGGCCCAGAATTCTCCAGAGAGGTGCCTTCTGGGGCCTTTCCAGCCTCAATAGCCAGATCTCCTGGGGTAGAGGGAGAAACTCTCTCCTGATGGGTTTCCAACCCCTTTTCCTGAAGATCCTCATCTGTACCATCTTGAAAACATCAGAGAATGATTCCTGATGCTTTTCACTAAGCCATCAGCCAAGCCAGGACTGCAGATGGGCAGCGATGCAAGCAGTCTAGATCAGCCCAGCCCAATGCCTGTCCTTGCCCAGACAGCAGGCTCTGTACCAACTCGCATCCCTACACAACTTGGAGCAGAAAGGACAGGACCCTACGGATCCTTGAGGCTCACAGATGACAGCTGGAGGAGAAGCAGTTAAGCAGATATTATCCTCCTGACAACATCAGCCTTATCCACTGCACACAGTCAGGGAGCACCGCTCACAATGCGCCTTAGGTGAATGGCATCTCCTGACATGCATGCTCTGGAGGCACCACTGACATGATTTTCTATGTGGATAGGGTTCTCTGAGTTGTATGACACCCCTGTGGGGCGCTATTCCTCCCCCTACTCTCAGTCAATACAGTTGTTCAGGAGGGGCTGACCTCACCCTAACTCCAGGATTAAGCTCATGCTCAGACATAGCCAATAAGAGAGCTGGGCCCAGGACTACAGAGACCAATTCAGAGGTAGACACGGCTCTCACCGGGCCAGTTCAACCCAGGGAACAGCTGACCCAGGAGGTTTGTAAGAGCCGTTGTTCTGTTTCCTCTGGTCTCAGTTAATGAGCTGCTAGGATGGAAGCCTGGGATGCCTGGTGGGCATTTTGCCTCTATTGGAGAGACTTTGCCTAAGCACAAAGCCAACCCAGAGGACAGCAGAGCCTGTGAGAAGGACCCTGCCCTACAGACATTGTGTGAGATCCCACCAGAGTCAGGGCTACCTGTAAACTTTTCAGTTATGCCAGCCAATGAGCTTCCCTTTATGACAAAAGTTGTGTTCAATTGGGTTTCCATCACTTGCCGCCAAAGGTCCCAGAGCCATAATCTTTTCCTCTTCTCTGCTCTAAACCCAAGCAAGACCCTAGCCCCTTGCCCCTGAATGCCCTGGGAACTATCCCCATGCCCACCAGACGGGCCAGGACCCCGAGTCACATTCCTACCTGATGAGCACTCCTACAAGCAGGCTGGCCAGGAGGGGGCCCAGCCAGTAGATCCAGTGGAAGTCCCAGTGGTTGGCCACCATGGCAGGTCCGAAGGCCCGGGCAGGATTCATGCACGCTCCAGACACAGCACCCCTGCCAACACCCAGCCACACTCGTCAGCAGAATCCCTGCCAAAGAGCCCTGACCCACCCTGGTTCATTTCCCCCATGTGGTCCTAGATCACATGCTACCCAGAAACCCTCTCTAAGCTATATGATAGCATGGGCGTCGGGAAGTTTCCCAAGAAGACATAGGTGAAGAGACTTCTAACACAAGGAAATAAAAGGCTTGACTCCTCCCTGGGGTCCTCCTTACAGTCTGCCACTCCCCCGACACCCTTCTGGAAGAATGGCCAGCCAACAGTGCCGGCTCAGTGATGGCAGGAAGGAAAATGGACCTACGCCTTCTCCAGAGTTGATAAGGCAAAGTCAGGCAACTCTTAGCTATATGAACTTCGGGGTCAAGTGGATCTAGATTCAGAACTCGATAGAGATTTCTAGCGGTGACACTGGTTTCACCTCTCTGTGTTTCAGTTGAGGTGAGTGTACAGATCTCATAGGTTGTTGTCAGGGATGAATGAGACAGCACATACAGAGCCCGTGTTTTTCATATATTTCATTGCAAGTGTTAACTCTAATCCAGCTGACCTGGCTGAGGTCTTTGTTGTGCCGCAAGCTTGGGGCCCAGCATATCCCACAGGGCGGGTGTTCCCCAGGAGCACCTCTCTAATCCTGGTGTCTGTACCCTCGCCCCACTGACTCAAGCTGGGGTCCTCACTCAGGCCTCACCCCGCAAGGACCCCACCTGTGGCCAGTGGCCAAAGCCAGATGGGTGAGTCAATAGGTTTGTAAGTGAGCCAAGAGCCACTAGGGGGCAGCAAAGCACTGCTACCGCTATTTTCCCAGCCTCCCCAGGCGCCACCTCCCAGAAGATGCCTCAGGGTCAGAGGGCAGAGCTAGGAAAGGCTACGCCTGGTTAGGAGCTGGCCTTCAGGAAGGCGCTCCCTCATCCCTCCTTTAGCAGGGGCTCCTGTCCCAGATCTGTCACTTAATTTGCCACTGCCCAATGACCTTTGGTGCTTCCCGCTGGCTCAGACGGTAAAGAGTCTGCTGTGTTGGAGACCTGCGTTCCATCCCTGGGTTGGGAAGATCCCTTGGAAAAGGGAATGGCAACCCACTCCAGTATTCTTGCCTGGAGCATTCCATGGAGAGAGGAGCCTGATGGGCTATAGTCCCTGAGGTCGCAAAGAGTCGGACATGACTGAGCGACCAAAAATTGACTTTAAATAAGTCACCTGTGTCCTCTCTGAGCCTCAGTTTCTTCATATATAAAAGGGGAGAAATAACCCTTTGTCTCCTTAATGCCTTCCCAAGCCTACTGAGAGGCTCTTGATAAACAAGACAATGGGTGTGGAAGCTCTTTGTAAGTCTGAGACTAAAATCTGGCCGCCTGCTGGCAAGATAAACACAATCGAGAGAAATGATTTCTTGATACTACAAAATTAGAAAATGCCCATAAAATTCCAGTCTTCTGGCTTCCCTGGAATTAAATTTAAAATGTCACCCCAAGTCCATATTCCCACACATCAATAACTTATCAGAGGTGCATGGTAAGTGAAAGGAAAGTGAAGCCGTTCAGTCGTGTCCGACTCTTTGCAACCCCATGGACTATAGCCTGCCAGGCTCCTCCGTCCATGGGATTTTCCAGGCAAGGGTACTGGAGTGGGATGCCATTTCCTTCTCCAGGGGATCTTCCCAACCCAGGGATTGAACCCGGGTCTCCTGCACTGCAGGCAGACACTTTACCCTCTGAGCCACCAGAGATGCATGGTGCGGGCCTCCTAAGACTCCGCAGTCCCCTCCACCCCCTGTTGTCTGCCTCCTACGGCCCACTTCCCCGGTTAGACTGTCTGCACGGCTTCTATTGGCTACTGAGCCCGTGACCCTCGGGGAGGCTCAGGAGGCCTGCGCTCCTCCAGGACCGAGCCTCGGCCCAGGGCTGAGCACTGCAGTCCCGCCGCCGAGCGGCACTCACCCCGCCAGGATGTCCACGGTGACAGAGAAGCCGATGCAGACTGGGGCCAGAGGACCTAGCGTCTTCTCGTTGATGGCACCCATGCACACGGTCAGCACCAGCAGTGTCGTCAGGATGATCTCCGCCACCACTGCCCCGGCCACCTGCTCCGACTCCTGGACTGTCACAAAGGCCGCCCCGGTCGCATTCCAGAACCTCTCCTCGGGACTCACCGCCTGTGGAGAGGCAGTGCTCAGCCCCACAGCGGCGGTGGAGAGACAGCTGGGAACTGGGTTGGTCGGGGGTGGGGGGTTCACGCACTTTAAAGCCAGGGAAGGGTCCTGTCCAACGTGCAGCCAGACATATCTGAAACCACATCTCGGCTCCACCAGTTCCTACTGTGTGGCTTCACCTGAGCTACTGGGCTTCTCTGAACCTCATTTTGCTCATCTGTAAAATGGGGATAACCTGGTGGTGGCTCCAGGTGTTGTGAACCAGAAGCATATGAAACTTAGATGGCCTTTTTTAAAAAAAGAATACAGAAATACCTGATTTTTACAAATTTTGCAAACACATATACTCAGATGAACACATTGCCAGCCCCCTAAAAGGCCTCTTTGAAGGACTGAGAAGAGCCCTGGAACTTAGGCCAATTGGCTTCCCAGGAAGTTGGCCTCGGGGTCATCACAACCCCTGGGGAGGGCAAACAAGCTTCCTGACCCAGAACTCAGATCTGGGCCCTGCTGCATCTCAGCTCATCTCAGCTTGGGCGAATCACTGCCTTCTCTGTCGCTCAGCTTCCCCCTCTGCAAAGTGGGGCTGCTGATAATAACAGTTCCCGGCCCAGGTGCTGGGTGCTCTCTAAGGACGGCTGCTGGCTTCTGGTCAAGCTAGAGATTAACTGAGAGGATTCTGTCAAGTGCTGGGGAGGGGTGGGTGGGCGGAGAGGAACACTCAGTGAGCAGTCGCTGCTGCCCCGCGCTGGTCTCCATCATGTCAGATGAGTCTGCAAGTGGCCCGGCCGGAAGGAGAGTCCAGGCACTGCTTTCCATGGGGAATCAGAGCAGTCCCCACTCTAAACGGACAGGGCAGCAGGGTCTCAAATGGGCGCGTGCGGTTACCAGGGCAGGGAAGACAGGAAAATGGGAATCAAGGCCAAAGTCTGCAGTGGGCAGACCAAACCCTAGCCAGGCTAACAGGCACCCCCTTCACTCCTGCCCACCCCCAGCTCCCCCACCCCGCCACAAGCCAAGCAAAGCTTCATGTTGAAGGACTCCTGGTTAAGACGTAAGAACAGCAGGAAAGAGAGAGACAGAAAAGAGAAGGAAAAAAGAAAATCGGGGGGCAGACAGGGAGAAAGAAGCCCATGCATGGAGCTCTGCGTATCACCATAGAAATTCTGTGGCTGAGCGGCAGAGCTAGGCTTTCTGTTGGAATGGGAGATTTCCAGTAAATCGGTGTTAACTCCCATCAAAGGTGGAGTAACTCAGTTTAAAGGCAGGCAAGCTGGAGAACACAGAGAGAAGTTAGTTCAGAAGTTTCTCAAGAAGGACCATATGCATCCCGCATCCTCAACCGGTGCTTAGTGAGATGTTCGTAGAAGGAATGAACAAGTGTGTGAATGGATGAATTTTAAAAATCAGCATTATCTAAAGCCACAAATGGACTCAGGAAGAGAAACTTTCAGTTCTGAATTCTGATTCCTTGTCTGTCCAGGGAGGGCTGTATCCAGACATGGATGGAACAGGGTGGGTTTAGGAAAAACCAAAGGCCCTTTGAGTGTTCCCTTCCTGTAGAAAGGGCCCGCTCAGTCCCATTGGGTGGGCTTCCCTGGTGGCTCAGATGGTAAAGAATCTACCTGCAATGCAGGAGACCCAGGTTCGATCCCCGGGTCGGGAAGATCCCCTGGAGAAGGAAATGGCAACCCACTCCAGTATTCTTGCCTGGAAAATTCCATGGACAGAGGAGCCTGGTGGGTTACACCCCATGGGGTCGTGAGCTGGACAGACTAAGCGACTAGCACTTTCACTTTCAGTCCCATTAGAGGCAACAGGAAAAGAATCAGACAGTCCCCACTCCCCACACCCACACACCCCAGCAGCCCCGGCAGAGCCGAAGCCCCCAGCCCAGCCCCCTGGGGGATCACCCACCTTAGCCAAAGCGGCCCCGATCAGCCCCCCGCACAGCTGGGAGATCCAGTAGGGAAACAGCATCGTCAGCCTGAGGCCGCCGACCAGCATGGCTGCCAGGGAAACCGCAGGGTTGAAGTGTCCGCCACTGTCACCCAAAAAAAGGAGAAAAAAGTGAGGCCAAGGCTTAGAGCCTGGGACCCACAGCACCCTGGCTGGCCCTGCAGGACCCACGTCAATCAAGGGCAGCCCAAGCAGAAAACAGGCACCAGATCACCCCCACGTTCCCCGAGGTGCAGAGTGGTGGAGGCTGGGGTGGGAGGGCCGCCCCATTCCTGTCCTACCCCCAGACCCAGGATGGCCCAGAGGAAGAACGTGGTGCAAAAGCATCTCTCAATGCCTTCTCGACCCCCGCAGAGCTGTGGCCAGCCCTTCAGAGCTGTGGCCCTAGAGCACAGCGAGACCCCAGGCTTCAAATGCAGAGGCCAGGAGAGGTATCCCAGCCTTCCCGTAAAAGCAACCAAGCCCCGAACAACATCTCTTGACTGACTGAACTACTCAACCAATAAGAATCCTAGTTTGGGTCTGCAAGCGTGACTAGTGTTGTGTGTAAAACTGAGGTTAAAGGTCCCTGGAAATGGCATTGGTAATCTGAGTGAGGTTAGAGGTTCATGATTATATTGGGGGTTGGGATCTGGGGTTTGCAATGTGAAGGGAGGTTAGACAAAGTTGAACCTAGGTCAAAGGGCTGGTTCAAGTTGGCTCTGTGGGGCAGTTCCATTGGTCCTGGGTAAAGAGCCTTGCTCTTGACCAAGCTGCTCAGCCCATCTGAGTCCCAGGGCCGGGAGGCCCCTGAATACACTGCTACGCCCACTGGCATCCTGTCCAGCCCCACACAGATAGAAGAGCTATCCTGAGAGGCTGGCTCAACAAGCCCTCAGAGCATGGGATGGACACTCCCAATAAGGGGGACGGTGACCCCAAGACCCCCCATGTCTCCCTAGCTGTTCAGAGCCCACCAATGGGTCTGCCCACCCAATGGGCACAGGACACTGAGCTGAGACTGGACAGAGGATCCTGGCTCTGGACACAAGACTTGGTCCAACATGCCGACATTTCAGGACCAGCTGCCCCAACTTATCTGGCCGAGCTCTGCGCACAGGCCCTGGGGGAGCTTCCTGCAGGGTCAGGAAGCACTAGCTGATCTCAGACTCAATTGATGCAGAGAGGGGACTCAGTTCGGGTCCATGACCAAGCTTAGCCTGGGCTCTGCCAAAGCAGAGAGGTGGGGGGCGGGGGCGGGGGCAGTCTCCCGCCACTGCAGAGTTAGAAGCCTGTCTGCCATCAGCCCCTCCACCAAAATCACCCAGTCCAAAAGGCGTGAGAAACTCACTCAGAGCATGGCTTGACCAGGAGAGGGCTGGAACACCACACATGTTCGAGAAACTCATTTCACACTCATTAACAATAAAACAATCACCCATTGTTTACTCACTAAAGGCTTATTGAACACCTACTCTGTGCTAGGTGCTGTGCTGGGTGAGCCAACAACCTCAAAGTCAGTGCCTGGCTCGTGGTAGGCACCCAATAAATATTTGTTGCCAAAAAACAGATGGTTGGATGGAAGGCTGGCATTTCAGATACACAGTCTCCTGCAGTGCAGAGCAATGTCCTCTCTGGCAAGCTGGCCTGGGTTCAAACCCCAGCTCGGCCACGGAAGAGCTGTGTGACCATGGGCAAGTGATAAAACCTCTCTGTCTTAGTGACCCCTATCTCAAAATCTGTTACAAAGATAAGTAATAAATATTCCTGTAGAGTAGTGGCAGATAGTACTCAACACATATTGGCTATTATTATCATCTCCCTTTTATTCCACCTAACATAGGTTCAGTTACTTGCCCTGGTCACCCTGCTAAGCAATGACAAATGTTGCCTTCAACCCTGAGCCAATGAGAACAGAGGACTCTGTGATTTTCATCCCACCTGCAGCTTCCCTTAAATATTTAAAGAGAAATGGAACAGTTCTCTTTCCATTCTGTTTTTCTTGGAATCAAGAATTTAATTTCCTTACTCATATCAGTTTTCTGTAAGAGATTAGATACAAACCAACCAGATCCTAGATCTCCCTGCCAGACACCTCATCCATTGGGTCATTTCTCCTGGGAGTCCACGACCTCCCGGTGGAGCCTCCATTCAGGGGAGGGCTGTGCAAGGGGAGCCCCTCGGCCCTCCCTACCCCCCGGTGGGTTCTTCTGTGAGGCATTGCCTTCCCCTAGGTTGGAGCAAAACCCTGTCCTAATGGTAACAATGGGCTTTCCAGGTAGCTCAGTGGTAAAGAATCCACCTGCCAATGCAGGAGACATGGGTTTGATCCCTGGATCAGGAAGATCCTCTGGAGAAGGAAATGGAAACCCACTCCAGTATTCTTGCCTGGGAAATCCTGTGGACAGTGGAACCTGGCAGGCAACAGTCCATTGGGTTGCAAAGTCGGAAACAACTTATTGACTAAACAACAATAACAAAGGTAACAGTAACACAGCAACTAACAGTGATTGAGCGCTTACTATGGACTAAGCACTTCACAATATTTCATTCTCGTACCTCCACCAGGAGGTTTAGGCAACAGACAGCTTGGGTTTGCTTCCTGGCTCTGCCCTGGGTCCTTGGACGAGTTACCTGATCTTTTCCCTTCACAGTGAAAAAATGGGACTAATAATAGTATCAACTGCACAAGGGTGTAAGGATTACATGAATTGCTATACACAAAGTGCTTGGAATAGTTCATGGTAAGCATGAGCACTATACCTGCATTGGCTTGAGAAATAAGATTTAGAAAATACTCTTCCCATTTCATAGGTGAGCAGTTGAGTTTGGAGAGTGACTTAACCAAAGCCGCAGAGCTCATGGGCTGAGGAGCCAGGATTCGAACCCAGGCAGCCTGACCCCCCAGCCCGCATTCCTATCCACACCACTCTCAGGATCCTGGGTGTCTGCCCCGGGGTGCTTGCCCACCATGCCGCTCCCCACCCCCCGGCTCCACCCGGCCAGCACCAGGCTGAGTGCCCAGAGCTGTTCCCACCTGATATTCCCCAGCGTGGCAATGACCAGCCCCAGGGCCAGCCCGTGGGCCAGCGCTGGCTGCAGCCGCCCGGTGTCCGGCCCGTTCTCGATGACCGACAGGCAGCCGATGAAGATGAACAGAGCGGAGCCCAGCAGTTCCACCAGGCAGGGCTGCACCAACCGCTCGTACCAGCCCCCCTGGCCCCGGCCCCTGCCGCTGGGTTCCTTCACCTTGACGCTGCCTGACTCCAGGTCACACATGGATGCAGCTGGCTGCGGGGGTGGGCGAGAGAGAGAGGGACCTGGGTGAGGGGAGAGCCCAGAAGGAAGCCCCCAGTGCCTCCACCTTGAGTGAATCCTCAGCCACCCGCTTGGAGGGCCAGGCTGCGGAGGAAGAGGCCAGGAGTGGACCCACCTCTGTAAACTTCGGGGCGGAGGCGACTCTCGGCGGGACTCTGTCCTGCCCTGGCTGGGAGACCCGCACCTGCTGTCTGGCCAGGACACTCTTATCTCCAGGACCCTGGCTGCCAGCCCACTCACAGGCTCTGCCCCTTTTAAAGGGCTCCAGACGCTCCTGAGGGTGCCGAGAAAGCAATAAAGACCAGTGGGAGGTGGCCCTGAGGTCATGGAAAGGAAGCCTTTTTTAAAAAAAAAAGTCTCAGCTGGGCAGGGCAGGGGGGTGGTCAAGGATTGCTGAGCTTTCTACCAACAAAGGGAAAAGGCGTTGTCTTCGCTGCGTCACCTGGGGAGGACTCTAGGTCTTCCCCAGCAGGAGATGGAGGGGTCCAGAGGAGACCCACGTGTGTGAGTGAACACAGGAGGTTCCCACCAAATCGGGACCATACATGGGAAGTAAGGCTAAGCTCAACTCCAGTGATTTTTTCCACCAATTTCCAAGGACACCTCCTCGTATCTGAGGCCCTGACACCTCCACACACTCACACTGACAGGCTGATCCAGGGCTGAGGGTGTAGACGGATGACCGTCCTGGGAGAATGCAGAGGCAATGGAATAAGCCCGTGGACTTTGGAAACAGACTGCCTGGAGTTCAACCCCAGTTCAACTACTGACTAACCTTGAGCAGTCGCTCACTCTCTTTGTACCTCAGTTTCCTCCCCAGGGTAGCAGGATGATAGTGGTGGGGCCAATGACATAGAGTCGTGTGGTTTAAATGAGTGAAGATCAGGGGACTTCCCCGGTGGTCCAGTGGTTAAGAATCCACCTTCCAACGCAGCGGAAGTGGATTCGATTCCTGGTTGAGGAACTAACATCTTGCATGCCGCAGGGCAACTAAGCCTGCGGGCCACTATGACTGAGCCTACGCGCCACTACGAAGACTCAGCACAGCCAAAAATTTTTTTTTTATTTTTAAAAATAAATGAGTTAAGATCATAAAGTATTTAGACACAGATGTTTATGATAGACACAGGGTATGTGCAATACCAATGCCAGCTGATTTAGAATATGTGTTTATGTGAACTGATATTTACTAAGACCTTTCTACATGCCAGACACTTGGTTAAATACCTTATATGTATTATCTCATTTAAACCTCACAATAACCCTATGAGGTAGGTATTATTATTACAGCCACTTGAACAGATGAGGAAGTAGAGATTCAGGAAGGTTAAGTTCCCCAGGATCACAGAGCTTTTGTGACAGCAGAATGTATGGGCCAAGTCACAAAAGGACAAATACTGTGTGATTTCACTTTTCTCAGGTATTGGAATAGACAAATTTATAGAGACAGAAAGTAGAGTGGTGGGCCTGGGAGGAGGGGAGAATGGGGAGTTATTTTTTAATGGGTACAGAGTTTCAGATGGAGAAGATGCAAAAGTTGTAGAGATGGATGGTTGCACACCAATGTTATATGCTTAAATGGTTAAAATCGTAAATTTTGTGTTATACATATTTTATCACAGTTGGAAAAAAAACTTGTATGCTAAGCCACTACACACAATTTTTTAAAAAATCTAGTAGGTTAAGCCTTTCTAAAGCGATGGATGGATAGTTGGATGGATGGACGGATGGATGAGTGGACAGATTATGAAAAAGATGTATGGAAGATGGGCAGATGGATGGATGGACAGATAGATGGAAAGAAGGAAGGGAGGAAAGGGGGAAGGGCAGGGGAGAGAGATGAGTTTCCTTATTCATCCATTCCATAAATATCTAAATATCTACTGTGAACCAGCCACTGTCCTAAGAGCTGGTAGGAAACGCAGAGGTGAAGAAGAGAGGCAAAGAAGCTGTTTAATGTTTATAACTATTATCTGCATGTTGTATATAGTCATAGAGAAGTAATATCTGGGATAAGAGAATTTTAATGAAAATGTCCACCATTAACTGATAACTCATTATGTATCTAACGCTGTGCTAAGCACTCTGCATGTATTTACAACTCAATAAGTCCTATGACTTCTTATCCCCATCTTCAGATGATAAAAACGAGATACAAAGATGTTGAGGAACCTGCCCAAGGTTGTGTAGATAAAAAAAGTATCTACTTCAGGACAGAAGCAGATGCATCCGGACAAGGGTTTGACAATTTGCTGAGAACTCCGTTTCAGCTCACGGCCCGGGAACGCAGCGCCTCTGGTGAGCATCTGTACATCTTGGAAGGTTTCAGGGCTGCTCTCTTGCTGGTTATCTTGAGGCTTGTTCTCTCCCTCCTTCGCACCCACCGCACATTGTACACATTGTTTCTTACTCCCTTCCTTCCATGTTCCTGAAACAGGATTGTGGTCCAACCCTCAACTGCCCATCTCCCTCATTCTTTGCTCAAGTCCTGCCAAGCGCTGCTTCCAGAATATTCCTCTCCTATTTTCACACAGGCCTTCATCAGTTCTTGCTTAGGCTCTTGAAAAGAAAATCGAATGTTTATTATACACCTGCCAACTATAGACCCGGCACTGGACACCTCTTATGCATTCCCTCTATAGTTAATATTCCCAATAATCTATTATTTTCTCACTTCACAAGTGGAAATGCCCAGCTGGCATTACTATAACAATTCCTCATATGGTCTTCTGGCTTCAATAAACTTCTTTTTTTTCAATTTTTCAATTGAAGTATAGAAGATTTACAATGTTGTGTTAATTCCTGCTGCTCAGCAAAATGATTGTTATGCACATATATATACACATTCTTTTTCATATTCTTTTCCATGATAGTTTACCCTGGGATATAGAATATAGCTATACGGTAGGACCTAGTTGTTTATCCATTCAATATATAATAATTTGCATCCCAAATTCCCAGCCCATCCCTTCGCCCTACCCTCAGCAACCACCAGTCTATTCTCTATGGCTGATGTCTCAGCCAATTTCATTCCGTTCCTTAAAACTAGCAGCCAGCAGGGCCCAGTTGAGCATTTGGGTCCAGGATTGGGGATCAAGTTTCTGCACCTATGCCCCCAGCTATTCTCTCTCAGCCTCAGTTTCCTCCTCTGTAAAAGTGGGCTAGTGGTGGTACCCATCCCCATAGGACTGATGTGTGGATTGAGACAGAGCCCTTAGCACAGTGCCCAATTCAGAGCAGGAGCCCCGTAACCAGCAGCTCTTATCATGGTTTGCATTAGTCAGAGTAGGCTCACCTGTGTAACAAATAACACCACCACCCCAACACTTCAATGGCTTAACATAGTGAAAAGTGATTCATTATTCACAGAATAACAGCAGGCCCTTCATCACATGGTGACTCAGGGATCTGGTTTACTTCCATCTTGAAGATCTACCATCTAGGTCCTCAGATCTTTTCCATCGGCCAGTAAATTCAGGAAGAGAATGTGGAGGATTGTACAGGGGGTTTTGTGGGGTAGACCTATGATTCAGACATGTCTGACTGTTTGTGATCCCTTTGACTATAGCCCACTGGGCTCCTCTGTCCATGGGATTCTCCAGGCAAGAGTACTGGAGTGGGTTGCCATTCTCTTCTCCAGGGAATCTTCCCATCCCAGGGATTGAACCCAGGTCTCCTGCACTGCAAGCAAATTGTTTTTTTTTTTTTTTTTGCAAGCAAATTCTTTACTGTCTGAGCTACCAGGGAAGTCCTGCGGTAAACCTAGAAATGGCAAATACCATTTCCATTCCAGTTAATTGAATAGAACTCAATCACATGGCCACAGAATAGTCTGGAAAGGACTTCCCCGGTGGTCCAGTGATTAAGACTCCACGCTTACACTACAGGGGCACAGGTTCAGTCCCTTTCTTGGGAACTAAGATCCCATATGCTGCATGGCATGGCAAAAAAAGGTCTGGGAAATGCAGTCTAACTCTGTGCCTAGAGGGAAAAAGGCATTTTGTGAGCACTCAGATATTTATACCACATAGTGGCTACTGTTGTTTCCCAGCCTGTCAATCTAATCCTATCTTTCCCTGACTTCAAACTTTCTAGCACCTTCTGTGGCAGTCAGAGCAAAACCAAGCTCCCATGCCAGCCACATCTGGACTCAACTCCTGCCACACGTATCATAAAGGATTTGTCAGAAGAGCCGTGCACCTCATCCCCTCCCTGCCCAGGCTGTCCCTTCTGTTGGAGCTCTCTTTTGCTCTCTTGGCCAACTTCAACTCCTAACCCAAATCTCAGATCAAATATTTGTCCTTCTTCCTGGGCCAACTAGATGCCAAGTGCCCCCCCTCCCTGGCTAGAGCTAAGATTGGACTCAGGAGCTACAAATCCAGTGGTTCTCCTCAGAAAATCTGAATGTCATTCAAGCAGAAAAACATATTTCCACAACATGAGAATTTTTCTGTGGCTGGAAGTCTCCATGTTCAATGTTATGGTTTCCCCAAACCACCAGGATGACCAGTAAGTACACTGGGGAAATGGTACCATCCTAAGAAATTGTTTGACTGGAAAACTCTTCAGCCTTCCAATCCCAGGTCTGGCTGACATGACCAAAGCCTCTAATTTTTATCTTTGCTTGGGTGACATTTTAAGACATCTCTGCATCCTTAGGTAGCAGTCTGCCATCTACCATCAGGTCTAAATGGAGTATAAGAGCAGGTTGCCTTTTATCCTAACAAACCACTTTCTCCTCCTTTCTCATACTGATGGTTGCACTATTGTGGAGAAAATGTGATGCTGGTGCCATGGCAACCACCTTGGGATCAGGAGGTGCAACTTGCTAGATGTGTGAATACTTGATGACATCACCAAGGCAACAGACAGTCCCAAGGCTAGCTACTCCAGACTTCTTGTTAAATAAATAGACACTTCCAGAAAACACCCCAAAGAGAGTGAATTCATAAAGGGGCTGT